AAAACCCCTACACCAACAAATAGTCAACCTCCTGATTCAGAATCTCGAATGACTCGTACTCAGACTAACTATACATCTTCATCGCGCAACGACAGATCTGTATTGTAGCCGAAACCTAGAATACAAAACACAGCAAACTCCTAATGAGTAATAGACTTAAAACAAGAAACATGAACACCGCTCCACATCCTCTCTAGCAACCGAAGAAATTCATGATGCCATACCAGCTAAACCCTTAATGCCGCACTAGCTAAACCCCAACCCACACAAACTGGTAACTTTCATTATTGTAACTCCAAACACTAAACTGGAGCGAAAACCCTATATATGTTGGCCAAAAACGGCAACTAAATCATGGCGACAATTGTGTTTCGCATTGTCTGTTTCCACATCACATGTAAACCAACATAGTAACTGTTACTACCTCTACTTATGTCAATGTCACTGGCTCCGCCGGAACAGATAGCACCATCGGTAACTCTTATTACAACCAAGCAAAAAATACCCAAATCAAAAAAATCTGCAACCAAACCTGCAGCTAGAAACAACAAAAACAACAAAATAAAACCAAGATCCACGATAAATGAAAGGGAAGGAAAGAGGAGAAGAAAAAAAAAGGATACAAACAGAGAGAGAGAGAGAGAGAGAGAGAGAGAGAGAGAGAGAGAAATAAGGAAGATAAGGGCGAGATTGGGGGTTAGGGGAGGAGAGGTCGAGGCCACCTCCTTGCCCCTTTCGTGTGGCGCAGAAGGGTGGCGAGCTAGGGTTTTTGGCTTGTTTATAAAAAAGCAAAACTCGAATAGGATATTTTTAGTGTTTATCACTTAATACTGTTAAGTATAAATAAAATAACAAAAACTAAAACAATAATGAAAGACAAAGAACCCAATAACCCAATGGTGAGGAAAGGTTGATGTCGAGTTGGGAGTGGTTGTTGTTATTGGGTTACTTGATTTTGATTTATTTTTTTGTATTATTTCTTTCTAATTTTATTTAACTTAACAGTGTTAAGTAGGTGTTAAATAGATGGACAAGAAAAGTAGGGTTTTATTGATTTATTTTAATTTTTGGATGTTAGATTTATTAAGGGTATATGTGGAAGAATGATCTCTTTTGTGCTTAAAACATTAATTGTCTGTTTTATCCTGTCAACAAAAGAATGGGAACTCTCTCCACTATGAGAGTTCCCTCTCTCTACTATGAGAGCTCTCTCCACCTTTTGTGGTGGTCATAAATTCTAAAAGGTAGCTGTCTATGGGAGTCGGAGTGTTTAATACTAGCTTTGATTTGAACATTTACTCCTCAACTCAGTGGGTAACTGCTCAAAATCTAATTTCTTCGTGGTGTCTCGTCTTAGAGATCTTGCATCTCATTTGCAATCAGCTCTGGAAATTCCTCATTCTTGGGTGGTCAGTAATTTTCCTATATTTTAGGACATTTGTCCCATTTCCACAATAATGTCAGAATTTCATAGGCTTTTAATTATTTTGTCACAGGATGCTCTCAACTATCACAATCTTATCCAACTAGGTGGGCACGTGCCGCCGCCTCATGTGGGTTTAAGGCCTATGGCTATGGTTTGTCTA